ATTCGACTGCAGATCGAGAGGTCCCCGGTTCGAACCCGGGTGTCCCCTGATTTTTTTTTTTTTTTTTTTTTCTCTTTCTTCTTCAACTTCTTACACTGTTTTATAGAATTCAGAATCACCTCTCAAAAGAATTCAAAATACCGACAATTAAAATTCTTTGTGTTCAAATAATTTAACTCTATAGTTAACATACTTGGCTAAATCCATTTCAAAATACATTTTTTATCTAGTAAAAGACAAGAGATCCCCTGTGGATCCACTGCAGATTTTGGCATTTTTATACTGGACTAAATACACATACACGGATATAGCAAAGACTTAAATAAGTATTCAATTTATCACACTTTTATTAGAATACCCCACAAGAGGTTCAAATTTTTCACAATATAACAGCAATTAATACAGGAGTTGAATATAGCATGATTCTTTAAGCATACAATTCACTACATTGTGAATGAAAATGTCTTGTATAATTTAATCCTGTTTTTTATACAAATAGAACTTTCATTGTTGTGCGTCATTAAACATTCTTCATGAATCCAGACAGAATGCTTTGATTACCTGAATACTATGAAAACAAATAAATAATTTGGTGTCAATGTTAAAGTTATCACTTTTTTATCTACAATTTATCAAAATCAAATACAAACATCAACATTACTTTCCACTGAACAGTTTATATAATTGTAGATGAATTAGGTTAAAAGTAGTGTTGGCAAATCGGACGATTTTTAGTAACCGGTTACTCGCTCAACCTTCCGATCGAGTACCCGGTTACTCGGATGATTTACTGAGTATTCATATGTATCATTTATCTCATCTTTTACTCATCAGTTCTAATAAAACACAGATGTGTTGTGAATTAACTTTATTTATGAACTTAAAAAGAGCACGCACGCAATATCTTGAATTTTATATATAATTATAATCAAAAAATTAAAATCAGAAAAAAAATAAATATTCAATGTTTCACGCTATTTTACAATGGTTTTACTTTTCAACCCCCGATGTATGTCACCATTGAGAATAATTATTTAAAAATTTGAAGTCACGATAACTCCAATTCACATTAATTACATTTTACAAGTATGCCCTCAGCTGTTCTTTTAAAATACTTCCAAGCTATGCATGTGCATACATATACTTATCTTTGGCGGCATCTTGTTAAATTATTTAATGAGGTAATTATAACTAGGGTCTTCAAAACTTGTATAAACTGCTGGCAATCAAAGCTATCAATTAAGTGTGAAAACCAATCAATCGTATTAGTGAAACCATACATGTAGATCGTTAAGTCTAACGGTAAAGAAAATTAGAGAAATGTTTATTTGTACGCTTAAAAACAAATTAATTAACATTTCATTTTTCAGCTATTTACCATATAAGATGCATTTTATCCGAGTAACCGAATAGCAATTTTACTAACCGATACTCGCATCGTTCGACGGTTAACCGGTTAACCGGGTACTCGTTGCCAACACTAGTTAAAAGAAAATAACAAATTTCAGTAAAACAAAATTTTTCACCAGACTATATATTAAATTTATCAAGTTAAAATTTTCATGTAATCCCAAGAGTCTTTCTACAAAATTGAATTTTTGACAGTACACATTTTTTAACTATAAATTTTATACTTGATTTTTCTTTTTTCTATTCTTCTACTTTTTATCTCAATTCAACCCAACAGAACTCTTAGTACGGACACCATCTAAATTTGCTTTTCTTAAACAAAGAAAAATAATACAAAGTTTCAAATAATTAACTCAGTTTATCCTGAATTAATAAATAGCTGAGGTAAGTGTTACAGTGATGGAATCTGTGGAGTGAGTGCTGCCGTAGAGATGACCTATGACCCTTTGAGCAATGTCAGTTGACCTCCATATTGCTGTTACTTTCTGTACTAAATGTGGCGGCCAGTGGTTTACCGCTACTTGATAATGAGACGTCTTTCATTTGATTGGACTCGGATTCCGTGCTATTGGTGGGTGGTACATTTTCTGAATCTGTCGCAGGTGTGTCATCCCAGTCTATTTTAAATCTTGTCACTCGAGGATTGGTAGCTAGGATATTTCTCTCCACCTAAAACAAAAATATATACTAGTATATTTATCAATAAAACTGTATACTATAATACATTTACAGACTTGTCGAAATCCGTCGGTCCTGTCGGCAAGCCCGATAAAAATTTGTCTGGACCGATAACATTTAAGAAAACGTCGGTCCAGATGACCGTTTGAAAAAAATGAGCGTAATGCAAATTTAATAAAGGTTGGGATCGAGATGCGTAGTTCAAGGTCACAAACACAGAAAAAAATGGCCGTGTCAGCAGCATGTTGACGCTAGCTAAGTAAATTTGTTATAGCGAAGTCATAAAACTTGTCATTTATGTCTATGTTAAAGACTCTCTATCCCAAGAAAGGAAACTTGTTAGATTGAAGGCTATTGAGAAAATAAATGATACCCCCCGCCTCCCATATGGCTATAATTGGTGAAAAAGTCCATGTCTTCCTGTGGCCGGGAAACCCAAAATATGTGTCGGATCAAAAAGTAAAACAAGAGGTACACAATTGCAATTTGTAATAAACATTCTGTGAAAATTTCATTAAATTTTGTTCAGTGGTATGAGAGGAGTTGCGGATAAGAGATGGGTACCCCAAAGCGTAACAGACGGACGGACGGACAGACGTACAGAATTTACGATTACTATATACCCTCCCGCTTTTCAAGCGGGGGGTATAATAATAAAGGACATTTTGGTGCTGTTATTCATATGATTTTACCGGCATCAAAATAACGTACAAGTATCTGGTCTGACAAAAGTTTGACTGGTCCGACAAAACATTCGACTGTGTCAGACCAAATGTCTGACAGTGGTTAAAAAATTTCGACAAGTCTGCATTTACATAATGTATAGTCCCTATGAAACAAAGGAATGCAAACAGTTTATTATACTGCATATTCACTGGACTCAAGACCATATTTACTGGAAGGTCAGTGCATGTGCAGAGTTGATTTTGAAGTCACAAAAGCTTCAAGCAATTTATGATGGCTGCGACATCCAGAACAAGTGTATATCAGAGCAGGAAAATCAGTTTGTATGACTATCCCTGTATTTTTACTTATTCTCTACACACTGATCGACATGAAAAAAGGAAATTCAGAATACTACTTGTAATCTGGAAATTTCAAAATCTTTCTGCAATAGAATTTCCTTCATGAAAATGGTGTTGCCATGCACTCTTCCATTTCATTGACTTTTTTATTTAATATTGGTCAAATAAGACTATACAGTAAAACAATTATGGACTCTTTATGTGGTTAATATGGTTTGACATTCACCAGAAACACATCAATATTAACCTTGGCTTCATCTCATATTAACCTTGGCTTCATCTCATATTAACCTTGACTTCATCTCATATTAACCTCGGATTTATCTCATATTAACCTAGGCTTTATCTCATATTAACCTTGGATTTATCTAATAATATTTACATCCACTGAATATTTTCTCCTTTATTTCTTAAGAAAACCCATTGTGTTAACACTGCAAGAACTACATTAGGCATGTTGCCTGTACAGATTTCTTGATCAGTGGCTATTCCATCAATGAAACGTATAAAGATGTTCGCATCATTAACACAATAATTAATCTTTTTAATCCTACTTTACAGGGTTCGACACTAACATTTTTAGGCTTTGGTCCGGCCGGACTAGTGCTTCTTTACTTTTACTAGTCCACGGGCAATTTTATTAGTCCGTCAAAAATAAAAATAATTAAATAGAATAAATGTTGCAATTTACTTTTATAATTTTTTCAAATAAACAAAGCATTTACATGAAATGTTTATACCAAGAATTCGTTGAAACCGTGCAATCAGGAACTACGATCGTATTCCAGATCTCATTCGTTTTCCTCTATACATGATTACATCATCTAAACATCCGACATCTTTCTTTATGTGTCATACTAAATCATGATCGCTAAAATGTTTAATTTCATTCCAACAAGTCCTTAAATAAGCGCCGAATTGACTCAGAATTACCAAACTTCCCGCCAAGAAGCTACAAAGTTAAAAATAATTACGGGGTTTTCCAGTGAAAGTTGTCGAAAATTTGAACATCGGTAAATTTTTTTTTTTCCCCCAGAAAACTTTATTAGTCCGTTCGGACTAATTAGCTACAATTTTTATTAGTCCGAATGAAAATGTGTTAGTCTGAGACTAACGGACTAACGTTAATGTCGAACCCTGCTTTAAATGATTATTTAAACAGATATAAATAAGAACAATAAAATGTCTTTCTTTCTTTGTTATTACTGGAATTAACTGTCGCAGCTATTGCAGAAAAAACTATCATAACCCGCTAATGCAGATTATTATTTTTTCTGCAACAGCTGTTTCCGTTAATTCTAGTAATTACAAACAAAGAAAGCATTTTATTGTTTAATTAACCTTGGCTACATCTCATATTGACCTTGGCTTCATCTCATATTAACCTTGGCTTCATCTCATATTAACCTCAGCTTCATCTCATATTAATCTTGGCTGCATCTCATATTAACCTCGGCTTTATCTCATATTAACCTCAGCTTCATCTCATATTAATCTTTGCTGCATCTCATATTAACCTTGGCTTCATCTCATATTAACCTTGGCTCCATCTCATATTGACCTTGGCTTTATCTCATATTGACCTAGGCTTCATCTCATATTGACCTTGGATTTATCTCATATTGACCTTGGCTTTATCTCATATTAACCTTGGCTTTATCTCATATTGACCTTGGCTTCATCTCATATTGACCTTGGCTTTATCTCATATTAACCTTGGCTTTATCTCATATTAACCTTGGCTTCATCTCATATTACTTGGCTTCATCTCATATTAACCTTGGCTTCATCTCAAATTACTTGGCTTCATCTCATATTAACCTTGGCTTCATCTCATATTAACCTCAGCTTTATCTCATATTAACCTTAGCTTCATCTCATATTGACCTCAGCTTTATCTCATATTAACCCTCGGCTTCATCTCATATTAACCTTGGCTTCATCTCATATTGACCTTGGCTTCATCTCACATTAATCTTGGATTTATCTCATATTAACCTTGGCTTTATCTCATATTCACCTTGGCTTTATCTCATATTAACCTTGGCTTCATCTCATATTGGCTTTATCTCATATTGACCTTGGCTTTATCTCATATTGACCTAGGCTTCATCTCATATTGACCTTAGATTTACCTCATATTGACTCTGGCTTTATCTCATATTAACTTTGCTTTATCTCATATTGACCTTGGCTTCATCAGTGATTGGGAAGGGCTTGCGCCACGCGCCATAGTCGCATTGAAGGGGAAAACGGCGCATTAAATCAATCAATCATAGCGCCAAGGGTCGCATTCAATTTTTACCGATGTTATTTGAAAATTTTTTGTGTACGACTTTCTTTCTTATTTTTACTTTCGTTTTGAATGCAGTCAATTTGAAACAACAAATCTCATTGGTTGAAACCTGTCTAAAAGTACTTCCGGTTAAACGAAGCACTTACATGAGGTACAATGCTTCATTCATTTGTATGGTAGGGCTGTTTCCTTTCCAAAACTGTCGTAATTTTAACAAAAAATACGGGTCAGTTATATCCTAAGCAAGTTCCTTTAAATTTGCTGCATTTCATGCGTTAAAAATCGAATTCGGTTAATTAACAACATGTTTTCTCGCGTACTTCATATTTATTTGTCACTTGTTATTTCTTAAAATGGCCCTTCAGATTATATTGATGGCCCATTTATTTTCGAAATGGCCCATCAAAAATGTTAACAGTTGCGCCATAGTCCCATTGACCATCTTGGCCTTTCCAATCACTGCTTCATCTCATATTAATCTTGGCTTCATCTCTTATTGACCTTGGCTTCATCTCACATTAACCATTTTTAGCCGGGCTTATTGCTCAAAGAGCAATTGCCGGCTTATGTGATCCTGTTCAAGGCAGGATGTTGACCCCATAGTCGCCATTTTAAAGTTACGTGCAAAAATATAGTTCTTACTCTCAACCGCATTTGAGATAATACAAATGCTAAATAAAGCAAAACAAGATGTGTTTGTGAAACACAGATGCCCCCGTATGGCAACATAGTAAAGATTCAGCTTTTCTTAAATGCTAATTTAATTAATTGGTAACAAAAGTATAGGGTATTCTCACTGGAAAACAATTTTGAAATTTGAAAATAAGCCAGAAATTTGAAAATAAGCCAATGTTTAAGTTTTTTCAATAAGTACAAAAATCTCCAAGGTCAAGGTAAAAAGGTCAATGTAATTGGTATCAAATGAAAGCTCTTGCAACATAGAATACTTATGGAGAGTATGGAAGCAATTAGCTGCAGATCTGTAGCTCTCCGAAAAAAAATTATTGATAGACCAGAGGGCTACAGTGCCACCCATTGAAAAAACTGTATATTTATTGCGCACAAAAAAGTGCCATCGATTCTTGATTAATTCATCCTAAGTCTTACCTCAATTGCAAAAAATGGAAGATTTCAAAAAATTACTCTCTCCTCTATCAAGTTCTCTCGTATTTGACATCTGAACGAAGCACATTGGACCGAATTATCTTTGAAACCAAAATGGCAGTATAAATAAGCAAAATGTCCGATGATTGCAATATCAGGGCCAGGAGGACTATTAACAACAATTATGAGGAATGTTTTGTTGTGGAAAGAGTCAAAGAATATGTTAGGAACACACGGTTAGTAATATTTTGAGATTAGGGCTTTAAAAACATAGAGAAATAAATCGAGAACCGAGCGCATTTTTTTGTGCAATAAATATACAGTTTTTTCAATGGGTGGCTCTGTAGCTCTCTGGTCTATCAATATTTTTTTTTCGGAGAGCTACAGATCTGCAGCTAGGAAGCAATAGCCCTTACCGTTCAGATGGAGAGTATGGAAGCAATAGCCCTTACCGTTCAGAAGTTATGGCCAATGCTAAATATTTTTAAAAGTAGGTCAAACTCCAAGGTCAAGGTCATAGGGTCAAAGTTCTTGTTATCAAATGAAAAGTCTTGTCACAAGAGTTAAATATGTAAAGTATGAAAGCAATAGCCCTAACTATTTAAAAGTTACAGTCAATGTTTGCATTTTTTAAAGGAGCCCGGAATCAAAGGTCAAGGTCAAAGGGTCAAAGTTCTTGGTATCCAATAAAGGGTCTTCTCACAAGGATTACGCATATGAAGTGTGAAAGCCCTATCCCTTACTGTTCAAAAGTTATGGCCAAGGTTAAAGTTTTTTCACAAGTAAGGAAATCTACAAGGTCAACGTCAAAGTGTCGAGGTTGTTGGTATCCAGTGAAAGGTCTTTCAACAAACATTACATATGTGAAGTATAAATGTCCTGGTGTCTACTGTTCAAAAGTTATGGTCAACGTACAATTTCTTAAAAAGTAGGTCAAACTCCAAGGTCAAGGTCAGAGGGTCAAAGTTCTTGTTATCAAATAAAAGGTCTTGTCATAACAATCAAATATGTAAAGTATGAAAGCACTAGCCCTAATCTTTAAAAGTAAGGGTCAAGATTTGTTTTTTTAAAGAAGGGCAATCTCAAAGGTCAAGGTCAAAGGGTCAAAGTTCTTGGTATCCAATGAAGGGTCTTCTCACAAGGATTATATATAAGAAGTATGAAAGCCCTAACCTTTACTGTTCAAAAGTTATGGCCAAGGTTAAAGTTTTTTCAAAAGTACGTAAATCTACAAGGTCAAGGTCAAAGGGTCAAGGTTGTTGGTATCCAGTGAAAGGTCTTTCAACAAACATTACATATGTGAAGTATAAATGTCCTGGTGTCTACTGTTCAAAAGATATGGCCAAAGTAAAATTTTAAAATTTTCATGTAAAAGTGGGTCAAACTCCAAGGTCAAGGTCAAAAGGTCAAATTTGGTGGTACCCAAAGAAAGGTCTAGTCACAAGGAATACACATGTGAAATATGAGAGTCATGCTCCACTAAATCAAAAGTTATGGACAAGGTTAAAGTTTTTGCGGACAAACAGACAAACAGAGAGACAGAGAGACAGACAGAGAGACAGACAGACAGACAGACAGACAGACGGACACGACAAAAACTATATACCCCCGAAACTTCGTTTACGGGGGCATAAAAATAAAAATAAAATAAAGCGAAGTTTTATCTATATTAAATAAACATTAGTAGTAATGACTTTGAAAACTTCATAAGTCAAAGAACATAGTTCATTAGCGTAAAGATTTTTGATAATCAGTGTTACCGTAGTTCTCTATACACATAAGAGGTAAAGCAGGAGAGGGAACCAGACTGGCCTGTTTGTTTACATTCAGCTGCGGTACCAGATTAATTCTGATTCTGACAAAATCGGACCGTGGTATTAGGATTGAAAAACTCACTGTCAGTGTCTTATCCTTTATATTGATAGTTTTAAAATAATTTTTTCATCTGAATATAAACATGATTCATGTAAGAAATCCATTCTACTCTGTAAATGAGCCCGGCTCTCTGTTCTTTTGAGTACTTTGATTTTGAGTTACAATTGTTTGGAGTGGTGCATTTTGCCACTATTAATATCCCTAGATTTCCTCATTTTACCTTATCGTACTGAGGTGAACTTGGTGGGTTTTCTTTAAGTTCAGGGTCGGAATATTCGTTGTTGACATAGTATCCCACTCGGATGAACTCTCTACTGCGATAAGAACAGGTTAGGAGGACGACGGTCACACCCACAGCATCCTGTACTGGTATCTTCACTGTGTCTGGGGGACCAGCCTACAAAGGTCAAACGTCAGAATCAAGTGTGAGGATAATTTGAGTAATTTCCTTTATTACTGTAAACTAAAACGTTTTATACAATTAATAAATTATAAAAGAGCTGTTATGAACAGGTCCAATGATCATTAAGGAAAAATTTAGTTACACATTTGTTATTGGTTGGAGAAGATGTTGATATACCTGAAATACAAACATGTGTTTCCCTGCCGGTACGGGGCCGACTAACACGGAATCCAGGGTCTGGTCATGCTCCTCCGACTCCGCGGCTCCTACATAAATTATCTTCCACTCCAAATCTACAGATAAAATAGAAAGCATTCAGACGGAATTGTAACATGATGGTTACAGAGACTCGGTCGCACCTACATAAATTATCTTCCACTCCAAGTCTACAGATAAAATAGAAAGCATTCATACAGAATTGTAACATGATGGTTACAGAGACTCGGCCGCACCTACATAAATTATCTTCCACTCCAAGTCTACAGATAAAATAGGAAGCATTCATACAGAATTGTAACATGATGGTTACAGACTTGGCTGCTAGGGCTGCCACGATTAACCGAAATATCCGTTAACTGCTATTCACAATCTTTAGATTCAATTCGGTGAGTTTTTCTGGGATTTTGATTGGATTCAGGTTTGATTTTTTCATACTAACATTTGCTGTTGTTAAGCGCATTCCGATTGGTAAATCGGAAGAAATGATGGCAAAGCATGTTAAAGTAAGAAGAAGAAGTCGATGGGGGACTATAGAGTTGCCAACATTCTGAAATGACAAATAGTGAGGCAAGTCTAGGGACCACCCAAACCCCCTGATGCTGAAGATGTTTTGTAAATGCAGACAAGCAATTTGAGGCTTGTTTAAGTTGTTTCCATTTTGTTTACTTTAAAGATTGACATGAATGTGATCTGCCTTCTAAAACCAAAACAATGATACAAGCAAGCGTTGTAAGAATTATGAATATACTATATTACCTCATATTAAAAGACGATCAATAGACAAACATGCGCTCATGGTTAAAAAGAGAAAAAAACTGTTTCTTCGTGTGTTCACTTTCTCTATAGTAAACAGGCCATTTTGACCACGTTGTTACCTGTTGAATATTATAATTAACCACGTGATTTCTATACCTAGGTAACTCTGTGAATACCAAATTCCATCACGTGACGTGTAAGGAAACACGCATTCTGCTGGGCGATAGTGATTGTCCATATCTGTTTCAATCCATTCCCATCGAGCCACGGGTTATTTTCTTTCTCTTAGATATCTATAAGATTATTCTTATATCTATCTCAAAAGCGTTTAATTTTACTATATTTATATATTTTCGAGTGTATTATATGTCTCTACATGTTCGTAGTCTACAAGAAAAAAGAGATGTATTTATTATGTTTTGAACCATCGCTTATCATAAACATCCAAAGTAAGATCCAGTAAATAATAAAGTGCCCCGCCACAGCATGATACGCCCGTCAAATATTGTTCAATAATAATAAATTGGTTAGGATGCAAGAAAATCAGGTAGCCTTGATTAACAGATTGACACAGATTTCAATGATTTAATTTCCATTTCTTGTCATACATCTCTAAGAGACTTGCAATGTAGGGATTGATTATAACAAATACATTATATAACTCTAAACTGGTTGTGTTAGAGCATAACAAATATCCATCTGCAGCTTACTTAAACTTAAATTGTTTAATATTGCATATTTTATGAAATAATAGAAATGCTACAGTTTAATAAAAAAAAAATCAAACATAAATTATAATTTCTTCAGACTATAAAATTCTAAGTGAGACATGACTGCAATTTGTTGCAAATATATAAAAATTGAAATATATATATTTTTTTCAATGAACACATGTATAATTAGTTTTAATTATATTATACAATACTAATTTAGTTTTAATCATACACTAAAACATAAATTTGTTTTAATTGCATTACACTGATTGGAAGATCTTTATCTGGACTAGCCATCAAGAACTCTTAATTAATACAAGCAACTATGAGGCCATTTCTTTTTGCCCAACTCTCAAGAGATAAATTAAGATAACAGCTGCATCATTGCTAGAGATGGTCTTAGCTCCTGACAATAAACTCATTAATTTCTCTCTAATTTGACATGCAAGTTTCTGCTATCAAAATTCTTCTTGACCAGTGCTTGATAATTATGCCCATGGGACAAACTGAATTCCTCTCAAAGCATAAACATTTGTTACAGATTGCTGTAAAGTATATAATGAAAAAAATAAGTTTTTACTTAATTTAACATTTAACAATAAGGATACAACTATATTTTTACAGTTTTTAGGATTATGAAGTTTAAAATTTAAAAGACTTAAGTTTTTTAATAAAAAATTCACTTAAATTAAAGGTCACAGTGACCTTGAAATAGGCCGCGACACACCTTCTACAATAGCTGTATACTTTTGCCAAGTATGAAAGTTCTAGGTCTCTTAGTTTTCTAGTTATGAGCCGGACAGGATTTTTCCATATTTGGCTATAGCATTTTTATTAAAGGTCAGAGTGACCTACTTTTTGTGCGAGACACACCTTCTACCCAAGATGTATCAGCTGATAAAGTTTGGTAACTCTAGGTCTTATAGTATTAAAGTTATGAGCCGGACACGAGAAAAGCTAACAGACGGACAGACAGACAGACAGACAGACGGACGGACACGAAGCCTATAACATAATACGTCCCGTCTTAAGACGGGCGTATAAAAATGAAATCATACCATCCTAAGCACACTAATTTATGAGGAGAAGAAATTAAGAAAAACTTAAGTAATTGTGACGTTTTCCTTTCTTTTTTTTTATAAAAAGGAAAAAATAAAGCAAGTCTTAATGTTGTTAGCGGGTCTCGATCCCAGATCCCAGATCTCAATATTATAAATTCTGTGCATTACCGGCTGAGCTAGTCAGCTATTATATTCGAACACGCGAATTGTTGACATCAGTCATTGCTGTTGATTATCAATGGCTACTTCTACCGGTCGATATTATTTGTTATTAGTTATATACTTTATTTGAAAACTTAAAAAATAATAGTGAAAAACATATGCCGAGAGGGAGAGAGAAGAGAGAGAGGAATGCACCAAATATAAATACAATAACTTTTCTAATTTTAGACCACTCTTCACAATATTAGCTCCGCCTCTAATGCATATTTATAAATCTTATCTCCAATCAAGGGCAGATAAGTCTAATTTCCCGATATTTGCAGAGAGGTGGGGTAAGAAAACACCAAATTATTTTATTACAACGCAGTATACAAGCTTTATGACATTGCCTTTCATTTGCAAATAGACCAAACTCGATAACAAATGATTTGAGGCAAAAATAAAAACAAAAATAAATGTGACAACAGAGATTGAAAAAGACCCAAAAACCGGCGTTAAGTGCAGTCATCCTTTATTAAAAAATCGAGGTTTTTGTTAGAACCGAATCGATTTGAAAATTTTCTGATTCATGGCAGCCTATCGGTTGCTCCTACATATATATCTTCCACTCTTAGATCTATCATACAAAAAATAGAAAACATTCTGAGAGAATTATTACATGGTTACAAATACTGTGAAAACACAAATGTTGCTATCAAGGGGGGGGGGGGGGGAGGGGGAGTTGGATTAAGTATATACAGTTGTTGACTGGAGGCAATATTGTACATTATCATAGAGTCTATTTATAGTCCCTATATAATCTATGCAAATGGTTACAAATACTGCTGAAGCACAAATGTTGCTATCAGGGGGATTAAGAATTTACAGTAACTGTTGTTGACTGGGGTTGATTTGAGGCATTAGCTTATTTATAGTCCCTATATAATTTATATAAACGCAAACAGTTCATAACACTACATATTCACAGGATTTGAGGCCGTATTCACTTTAGGGTCACTGCATGTGCAGCAGCATTGTGACTTCACAATCAACACCTCAAACAACGTTGTAAACAAGAATAGATTTATATGGGTTACCCCATAGCCAAAGATATTCAACTTTTAGACTTAATATGTTTAACAGTGTTTATAATGACGTCAATAAAAAAAAAACTGCACTGTCTAATTATGGAACTGTTGTAAATTTCGTGAGTCCATAGCATTACGGTCACCCAGTCTCCTAACAAACAGTACACATAGGCCTACATGTACCTGTGTCCGCAAGACCAACATTAGCCTTGGTCTACACAGGTGCAATGGAGCTGTCAAACGCATCCAGCGAGCTCGGAGAAACACGTTTTGTTTTGCCGAGAAGTTACGATGGCAGACAAAACTTTTCTTTTCTTAATTAGATCATATGAATACGAACTCTGATTAATAAAAATGATACAATCCCTGTTGAACTATATATACTTTGTTCTAACATTTGCATCTGCAACAACTTGTGTTTAAAATGGCCGGGTTAGGAAAATCAGGACCGGGTCGGAAAATTCTAAACTGAAAACCTTTTTTGTTTTGAAAATTACTGAAATATACTAATGTATTTGTCGCAGAAATTACTTACATTATTCAAGTTCTATAGAAAATGGTATGCTGAACTTCAACATGAACCCGAATCTCCAACCCAGTTCTCGTTTTGCCACACATACCCTACAGTTTACAAAGTATACACACGAGCAGAATCCGGCCAGGGATTGAAAATTCCGCCAGTTAATAATACACACACACAGAATAATTAATTTTTTCTTTAAGAAGAAATTGTATGATAATTAACGGACTATAAACATGTACTTAATACAATTGTTGATATAGTATTA